TCTAATAACTTAAGCATTTGGTTACGAACATCATGAGGTACTTTTTTTACAAGAGCTTATATTACCTGGAACCCCCAAGAGATGTTACTTCATTCTATTTATGCCCCCTCCTTTACAAGGCTTACTACAGTAAAGGCAAGTGTATACACAACTTTTTCCCTATTTTTTTTAAATGAAACATGATCCCACTCAGGATTACTTTTCCACGAGTTGTACTTGATGATTCTGTGGATTGTTTCTCAGATGGCATATTATTAACATTACTATATTGAGAAGCATTCTCTTGTAGAGCATTCACACTTGGTAATTCCTACATGTTATAAACATAAACTGATTAGTGATTAATAATAAATAATTTAATAATTGAGAAATTCATATGCAATTATAAATATAACGAGCAACCAAATTTGTCATAGAGGAACAATCTCACTAGCACCAATTTCAATACCCTTGATCTAAATAGGAGCTAGTTAGACTGTTAGAGAAATTGAAAAGCACTATAGATGAAAGTGAAAATGTCAATATGGTAGGAAAAGAGATCCTAAAAGGCATCCTTGAAATGAAGAGTTGTTGAATAAATTAAGAAAGTGTAGTAACATGGGACAAATTGTGTAAATCTATCAAGATTTGTTATCTGTGATGCCTAAGCTAAAATATCAAGAAAAAAATGAAAAGAGAAAACATGTGCCACCTATTTTTGTATTATAGTTCTTATAACAATTATTTTGGAAATCATTTTCAAAATTTAATCATTTTTTGCTTAAAAATGGATTGTTGAAAACTGTAAAAGTGCTTAACAAAACAATTTTTAAAATAATAATTAAAATAAAAAAACAGAGAAGAGAAACATGCAGGCCCTTATAGTGAAAGCACTAGTGTAGCATTTAGAAGCAATGAGAGTTCTATAAAAGTTAAACTTCTAATAGTAATCTTTAGGCACAATGATAATCTTTAGGGACAAAAATTGTTACAAAGAGTTAAATTTCAGTAAGTCAAATAATTCATTAATGTGAAATAACAATTGTTACATAGTTAAATTTCAGAATGTTGCTTCATATTAAGTATGATGGCCAGTGAAAGATGTCAAAATCTTGCAATGAATTCACAACTCAAATAATATGTGGTAGATGGGTTTTAGATGACACCTAATAAATACATCTAAAGGATCATCATATCTCAGCACCTCAACAAATAAAGCTATGCTTTCATCCTTTCAATTTGGATTTCGGCTTGTTCCTTATTATATAAATAACATGACACAAGACTCTTCACATAAGACCAATCAACCACCGAAAAGATTATTTGCTGCAACAACCCAATAGTATTTACGAAGAAAGTAATAACCCAATAGTATTTTACGAAGGAAGCAACAACCTAATTTTATGATTGAAAAAAATTAAAAAAAATAATATGAACAGGAACAGAAAAGTGGAAACAGAAACGCTAAACAAGTAAACATTATTTGCAGTAACTCAATCAAGCACAAACAGAAACACTAAAAAAATACTTGTGGTTGAGAAATGGTAGGAACCGAAACGAAGATGATGTTGTGATGTTGTGCGGAAGATGAGTAGAGCGCGTCGGTGATGGAGTAGGTTGCTGATGACGGAGTACGACGCCGGAGACGGAACGGTGATGAAGAAAACCAAAGTGGAAAAGGGATAGAGTTCACCGCTTGGAAACGTTCGTGAAAATGGCTTAACCCAGATGCAAAATCAGAAAATAAATTTGGGGCTAAAAAAATCATAACAAACAACGTCGTTTGGCTTAATTTAAAAAAAAAACAAAACCGTGTGAACCGCCGATTCACACCGGTTTTGCCGGTTCCCAACCGGTTCTACAAGTTCTTTAGCAATTCATTGCAAAACTAATTTTGGAAGATGACTGGACCGGACAGGCAACCGGTTCCCGGCTCAACCAGTCGAACCAGTCGATCCGGTCTGATTTTGATAACATTGGTTTTGCCTCGAAATTCAATTTTGTTATTTATTTTATTCAGTCTAAGTCGAGCAAAAAATATTTTAATTTATTATATTATCATTTCTAAATATAAAATTTTATGCACGAATCAAATTACTTCGGTAGTTAAAGGAATTATTGTTATTTTTATAGATCACGGATTTCGAACACCAACAATTGCATAATAATTGAATTTGAGCTCATTATAAAATAGTTGAGAGTATTTAAAACAAATACTACTTTATAATCACCTTAACTTTAATAAAAAAAATATATTATATTTATTTAAATTCTGTAATTATGATATGTGAATTCAAGAGTCTACTTAAAAAACCAATCCTATAAGCATTGATAAATTGTCTTGAGTAACAAATGCTGGAGTTATTTAACAAGGAAATTTGGTTTGTTTTGAGGGAATATGGGAAGGGGAAAGATGATGAAATAACTTTCTGATATCTCAATGAGGTAAAAAAAATCTATCTCAAACTAAGTACAAAAAAAATGAATGGAAACTCAATAAAGCAGATGGTGAATGCGACCTTTCACTTAAAAGAAAAGGACTGAAGAGGTCTGAAGAAAACTTTACTGTAAGATATAATTAAGTCTCAGAAAGTAACAATGGGAAGATAAAAAAATATTTTTAAAAAATTATCAGATCCTGTTAAATCAAACCCTTCATTTATATATTTAATAATAATATGTGTCATAATAAGGAATAATAACATGTGAAAACTGGAATAACATCATAATGTTCATATGCATGGATGTCACTAGAAATGGAAAGCTGTGAATGAGTGAAGCTTTATTCCTGTGAAGCAGATGGTGATGAGAAGAGCATATGTTATAGGTACCCGAATTGGACGGTATGCAATCAGCTTAATTTGGATAGGAGTAAGGTGAGAAAAGTAAGAGAGGACTAGGAGGGGGATGGCTTTGGAATCAAAAGAGAGCCATAGGTTTTGAATGGGAGCTGAGTCAAGTGGGGTCCCTTCATCTCTCATAAAACAATCCATCCCCTAACATCATCTCATGCTCACTCGTTGAAGAAATGGAATGCTTTTAAGACAGGGCTGCTTATTTTGGTAAACTATATGTTTAGTACCTAAACTATCAATTTTGTTTTGTTTCAGTAGCTAAACTTTTATTTGTTTCAAAAACATACCTAATATTTACTTTTTTGTTTCATTTAATACTCTGCCATTAAAAATTTAATTCACTATATTTTTTATGAGTAAATTATATCATCCATTACACAACTATCTTCTTACTCTTATTTCGGTCACTAAAGCTTAAAGATTTTCGATTTAACTACTCAACTTTCAAATTGCTCATATTTTAATCACTCTAATAGGAGTGATTTGAAAGTTGAGTAATTAAATTAAAAAGATTGAAACTTAAGTGAGCAAAATAGGAGTGAAAAGATAGATGAGTGATTTAATTTACCCATAAAAAGGTGCCAAGTGCAACTCACCCGTTAAGGTTTTAAAACGGAGAGATACTAAACAAAATAAAAAGTTAACACGTGATTTTAAAATAAATAAAAATTTGAATACCAAAATAAAATAAAATTGATAGTTTAAATACTAAATGTGCAATTTACCTTTTTTAGTTCCACCATGAATTGAAGATTGTTGAACTGGACTGGGTATACGTTTATACATTATCCCGTAAAAAAAAAGTAAAATAGATAAATGTTCTGTCTGAGCGTGGTGATAAGAGATTCATGGCTTTTAAGAAAAGTTTAAAGCTTGAATATTAGGTAAACCGATCGGAATGATTGGGATATCCCGGGTCTTCTTTTGATGTAGCATTCAAAGGATGACCTTCCTTATTCTTAATAGGCCATTGGTGAAAGATAATTCAGTGGTGGTGGTATCAGCTGGCCTCTTTAAGCATAAGATGACTATCTCAAAGGCCCAAAGTACAAATTTGGGTTACCAATGTGAAATTGGTGATCAGCCCCAGGTTTCGTTTTGTCGAAGAAACAGAATATCACTTTCGAGAAGCCACAGAGTAAGCAGTTGGGTTACCTAAAATGGTAGGTACAAACAAATCCATTGCTTTTGGAGAGGGCAATAGAGTGTTTTACACACGGGCAGCAGACAAGCATATTTCACGATGGAGTCGTCTGCACGTCAAAACTGATAACAACAGCCACAATGATCAGTCTTGACGACCACTTACACACACACCCGACTTGCAAAACATATGGTGCTGTACCCATTTGCCTCTGCAGCTACAACTACAACTACAGTTTGTTAGTCGCTGACATCACATGTCCACCTTCCTCTTTTGTCCCTTCAATCCCACTTGTTTTGGGTCCACCTTTAGCCTCTTAATGTCCTTTAGGAACACAAACACACACACAGACATATATATATATATATATATACTATTGACATCTAAGAGTCGACCAAAAGCTTGTTCGTACCCTCGAAAGAGGTTCATGTTATTAAAGTTTAAGCAATCGAGTAAAAACCAAGAATATATTCTAATTCATTAGACTTTGACGTTTTACGTACACATTTACATGTGTGCTGAATTGAAATTTAAGTAATTCAATAATTGTGCCCCATTTAATCAAATCAAAAGTTTAAGTCAAATGTTAAGCTTTAAGATAAAATTCAATTCATTATTCAATAATTTTTAAAATGTAAGTTTAGTTGAGTTTGTTTTGTGATTTGATTTCCAAAAGAAGAATGATGAATTCCTTGATTGGATAAATATTTATATTTATAAAAATTAGTTGACAAAAAGATGGCGTAATTATGAAGCCCTTAAAAGATAGAATGAACCAACAAAGACTGTGGAACATTTCTTGCAAAGTTTCCATTATTTCACTTCAACATTGCACGTATTAAGTGTAATCATGAATCAATCTACCCCATCATTATCCCAAAACTAAACACAAAGCACATCATCATGCACCCATCATATTTTCTAATTATTCATTAACCACCCCATAATTACAAATTTGATTATTTCTTTATAACAACGCAATTCCAGCGTCCCCAAAAACATATCTAACCCTTTCCACTATCATGCTTCTACCATCCGCTCACCATCTTTCCCTTCTCTTCATCTTCTTCCTTCATAACTTGCGGCCGTTTACGGCGGCAAGACCGGTGCCGGAGTTCCCGTTTTCAACTGTCAATAACTTCTACAACTTCAAATACTCATTTGATCCTACGTGGCATGCAACGAAGAAGTACGTGTATTTTCCCGGGAAACCTCGATGGGCACGTAGCATTCCGATGAAGCTAACGTATGGATTCTCCCCCGACGATTTGATCCATTACTTGAGTTTATCAGATATAAGAAAAACCTTTAAACGAGCTTTCTCGAGGTGGGCATCGGTAATTCCAGTCAGCTTCGTGGAAGCAGATGATTATGGGTTTGCGGATATAAAAATAGGGTTCTACGTTGGTGATCATGGTGATGGAGAGCCCTTTGATGGGGTGCTAGGGATCCTCGCCCACTCGTTTTCACCGGAGAGCGGGAAGCTTCATCTCGATGCGGCGGAGACGTGGGCGGTTGACTTCGGAGTGGAGAAATCGGACGTAGCCGTTGATTTGGAATCGGTGGCGGTTCATGAGATCGGTCATCTGCTAGGTTTAGCTCATAGTCCGGTGAAAAGTGCTGTTATGTATCCGAGCTTGAAACCTAGAGAAAAGAAAGTTTATTTGTCGATTGATGATATACAAGGAGTGCAATCTCTCTATGGATCAAACCCTAATTTTACATTTGGTTCTTTGCTGGAATCTGATACTTCAGCTAACCGAGCCATTGGTTTGAGATTAGAACCATCGTTCTGGGCCATGTTCATGTTCTTGGCAGCTTCTTTCTTCTGCATATAATCCCCCTTTTTTCTGCATTTTTAAATTTAGGTGGTGGTTGGCTTTCGATCTTGTGATTCGTATTCCATAGTAGAAGCTAGGCTTAATCCATACCCTTTTAGTGCTTTTTTATTCATCTACTAGGTTAAAATTCGAACAAGATTTTATTCAAGTGATATTAATTAATCTTTTTATCATTTGATTCTATAGGTATATAAGAATCGTAACATTTCGTATACAAGTGTTTGCATCCTTGTAATTTACTATAGGGCCGCACAAGAAGATACCATTTTTTTTATGTACAACTTTCGAACATGTTGTAGAAGTGATTTATTACAGTTAATTGAAAAGAATTCACCATGTAACATCATTGGTTATCACTTTTAGGTCAGCCTAAACATGTTGCCATCTTTTTTCGCCTTTTTTTCTAATTACTTAGTTTGCTGAATTTCTAAGACAGTGACGTGGCAAATCATGTCATTTTCCATGACTTGTAAGAGGAAAAGAAAAGAGAAATAATTAAGGTAAGACATCATGGTGTAATTGTATTAAAATATTATTACGTTAGTAATTAATCTCTTAAAAAGAATTACCAACACATAATTTAATTATGTCTTTTTTAATATTATAGATTATAATTACGCATTAATAAATTCACATTTTAAAATTATATTAATAATAAAATGGAAGAATATACTCATACATGATACATGTAGTAACATCAATTCTTACTCGTCCCTAGAGAATCGAAGAATGTAATTAGGATCCTCAGTTATACTCAACACAGGAGCACCACAATTACAAAAATTTGTTTAAACACAATTCAATTACATCCAAATTTGTGTTCGAATCTGTTGGGAGGTTCCTACAGGGGTTTATGCAGAGGGTTAAAGGGCACTGATGTAGGGTTCCTATAGGGGGACAAGGTTTCGTTTATCTTCGAATCTCAGTGTAGAATGTACTGACTTGTATGGTTGTCATAGTTTATTGTATCGTAGACATCATGTACCTTTTTTTCCTCCATTTAAGTGTATGGAAGTTTTTTAACGAGACTTATGATTGTGTCTCTAATTTGTGTACGTTAAAATCAATAAATCGTACAAAATATCCTTTCAAAAAAAAAATTACATCCAAATTTGATTATACGGTAGCTTTTCAGATACACGTGTAATATTAATACTTAAGTTAAAGATTCATCTTAATTATCGATCTCACACTAATCAAAAGAGGTGAAGGGGTCAATAATTTTTAGAATATATAGTTAAAAGTTATACGTTATACTTTCCTTCTCTCTTCGTTATGAGTTTATCTAAAACTATTTTACGTAAAATGAATTATATTTTCTGGAAAATAGTTTTCGGAAACTACTTTACGGTATTTTGATGATATTGTATAAACAATTTTCACTAATTGTTTGATATACTAAAATTTACATAAAATGAATAAAGTTCGGTTCAGTTAATATTAAAAAAAAATTGATTTGATTAACGATTAAAGAAAAAAATTGGTTAATTCGGTTAATAATAATTTAATTCAATAATGGTCGAATTAATCATTTGAAAATCCGTACTTTTAATTATTAATATTTTATTAACATAATACTAGATTATTATATTAATATTAAATATATAAATTAATATTACTCATTATTAATAATTGAATGATACCATATTTATAAAAATAATATAAAAGATTAATTATACTAATAATTTATTATACTTTACTAAATTAAAAATGTAATATCTTATATTATATTATAACATATCTGAGTGCATATTAATAGAATATTAAAAATGTGATATTATTAAAATTATATTATATGTATATTAAATATTTTAATAATTAATTTTTTTATTAAAATGATATTAAAATATTAATTTAATATTAAATAAATAAAATAATTTTTTAGTGTTTATACTTTGAAATGAAAAGGTAGGAAGATATTTTACGAAAAATAAGATGGTAAAATAATTTATAAAAAAATGCAAAAGAACTAGAAAAATTAATTATATTAAAAAAATCAATTATATCTATTTAACACTGAAAAATATTTTCCGTAAAATCAATTACATTTATCAAACATCAAAAAATATTTTTCAGAATTATTTTGTAGCTATCAAACACAGAAAACGAGAAAAACATTTTTTAAAATATTTTTCAGCTTTCAAACAAACCCTGGATTGTTTTTTTTTTAATTTGGCGAAACAAGGTCGAAATACAGAGTCCATTCTGTTCAATTACAATCAATACATATCAATAATATACTTGTGAATAAGAGTTTCACTGCTGCCGCAATGACCTAAACACGTACGCCTGTGCGGAGGGGGGTGAAGCCAGGCCAATAGGGCAAGTAATGGAGTTCCTAAGTAAAACTTGAAAGTGTAGCCACTGAAATACGGGCCATTTATTCTGTGCTAGCAACCCTTGGGGGACTACACGCAAAGCACCGATTATTAAAATTTCCTTCCTTTGATGAGCCTCCTCCACACATGCAAATTTGGTCATACCAACGTTTCCATGGAATTCACCTACGTAAGGTCCCATGCAGCCGTCGATACATGCGAATCGCAATCGATTTTGGGCCTCATTTGATCAAGTAGAGTGATTCATAATAAAGGCTTCACACACCTTAATTTTTTGTTCTAAATTTGTTATATCGCTCTTTCCGAAAGAACATGTATGATAAGATTATAATATTATCGCATATGAATTTTATATATAATTTTTCAATTGATATTGATGTCTCACACTTCTCGAAAGTATGATATTCTTCTTTACTCAATTCTGTTACACCAACCGTTATCACAATTGTCCACCTTATTTACCTTACCCATTGAAACGTTGGATGTAAAATCAGACTATTTAAAAGTTGTTTTTATATTACATATTATATGATCTTTTCAAAAGATATATTTGTTAAGAGATACGACATCACCGTTTATATACTCTAAATTTTATTTTATTTTTTATTTAAGACTAATATCCACACCTCTATAAAATATGATACTTCAATAATTTCTTTTCCTTTATTTGTGTATTGATTCAAATAAACAGTTATTAAAAATAATTATTAACTAATGATTTGATTTTTTGAAATTTCGAAAATAAAATTGTTGCACGAAAGTAGAAAATGTAACTTGTTTAATTTTTTTATATATATATTTAAGAGATATGTTTCGTCTTTCAATATTTTATTACTCAAAATATTAAACTTTATGCTTATTAAATTTAAGGGTAAAGAACATAAATGATTTATCAACTATAATATATTATTTTATTAAGCCTTATGACTATTAAAAGTTGTAAATAATTTTTATATCATAAGATATTAATTTTTTTTAGTTATTTGACTATCAAAAGTTATAAAATAGTCACTCGACTATTTATATATTAAAAATTCATCCTTTTCTTTAAGAAATCGATGATCATCTGAGCTGGATGTTAATATGTTGACTGATCTATGATAAAATCATATTTTAATTATGTATATTGGCACCATTATTATTTTCAAGCATTGTCTTGACGACATAATATTTCAAACACTAACTTGATGATATAATATAAATAGAGACTAAATCCACAAAATATAACTCAAACAATTATGTGATCAGATTTTATCATATTTCAATAATTTCTAGCTTAAACGACCACTACTTTTTTAAAACATATGAATAGTCAAGTAACTAGTTTGTAACTTTTAATAGTTAGGAGACTCAACAAAACAATTCCTTATAGTCGCTGACTACTTTGTAACTTTCAGTAGTTAAAGATTCAACAAAACAATATCATAGAGAAACTATCTATTTACTTTAACCTAATTCTAAAGTAATTAAAAAGCTATAAAATTATAACACTACGAGCGTTGGATATAATTTAATAGTATAGGTTTAGGTTTGATCATCATCGTATATGGTCACATTACATTGGATAAAAAAATATGATTATTGTCGGTCATGTTTATAGGCACATGCCTAAGCACGTGGCATGCTGTTATTAAGGGATTACCGCCCTTTATCATGTCACGTGATTCCCTTTCCATATCTCTTCCACCGATGCCGAAAGCTTAGCCACTGCCATTACCCGGAAGCCGCCCCATACTATAATTTCAGTCATTCCATCTCTAAGTTACTTTCCTGGGTAGTTACGAGGAAAGATCCTATTGTAAATATTTGTATTTTTTTAATATTTTTGGTAAAATATTATTTAAAATATTATTTTTTATTAAAAATATTAATTTCGTTACATAATTTTTAATAAAAAATAATAATTTAAGTAGCATTTAATATTAATATTTTCAATAGAAAAAAATAATATTTTAAATAATATTTTACCGAAAATGTTAAATATTATAGTTAGCACTTAATATTAATATTTTTTGTAACAAAATTAATATTTTAGATAATAATTTATCAAAAATATTAAAAAAATATTAATATTTTTGATAACACCTCTATTTTAACGATATATTAAAACTGTTATCTCTTACTTTCCCAAGTTGCACATGACATTAAAATAATAAATAATTCCTCTTTCTCTTTGTACTCCTTCAAATAAGCAAATTAATAGCATGCCACGTGCAAGAAGGTAAATGACTCGGTTAAAACCAAAACCCTGAATTCCAGATTAATCTATGTACCTAAAGAAGACCAACAGAGGAATGGGCTGTCCTCTTTACAATTCACATAGAGTGAGACAGTCCAGGCTGCCCAGACCTTGTTCTTATCATGGTGGTCAACTTTGTCAATTGATAGTTGTTGACGAAAATGGGTAAAGAAAACGAAAGAACACGAGAATTTTACGAGGTTCGACAATGTGCTTACGTCCTCGGTGCCTAGGCGGCGCTAGAAGTTTTATTCAATGATATTTTAGGTCTAGGTTACATCTCTATTTATAATAGAAAACCCTGGTACATAATTACAAAATCAACCCTGTACCGTACCGCGGGGGCTGCGCCCCCACACCCCCAACCCACATAATTCGTAACCCCACAACGAGACTTTTATGAGCCATACAACAAATCTCCACCTTGGCGAATATCCTGCCCCTTGGAAACTTCAATGTGGGTTGGGTTACCTTGCTTCTTTAACAACTCGAAACATTCAACAAG